TGCCGCTTCTTCTTCTCCCGCTCGACAGCCTCGCCCACGCTCGCATGCAGCGCCTCGAGCTCGGCCTGCTTGCCTGATAGCTCGCCGAGCACAGCGACCCGCTTTTCCTTCTCCTGGGTGTACTTGACCACGAGCTTCTCGGCCTTGGCCTGAAGCGCGTCGAATAGTTCGGCCTTGGCCCCAAGCTCCTCCAGCGACTCGGCAAACTTGGCCTTGAGCGCCGCCCGCTTGGCCTTGGCCTGCCCGACTCTGTCCAGCAGCGCGTCCTTGACCGCGCGCAGCTCCGCAATCTCCGCCGCGTCGGCATCTGCCGCTGCAGCGGCGGCCTTCAGCGCTGACCGATACTCGTCAAGTCGAGCCTGCATCTGGGCGTCCCCGCTCGCCATCCCAGCCTCCAACTGGCTAACGCGCGCGTTACTCTCCTCCAGAGCTGCAGTCTGCCGCACAATTTGCGCCCTCAGCAAGTCAACCTCGCGCTGTGCATCGCGGACACTGCCCAGAGCCTCGGCCCGGGCTTTTTCGGCGGCCTCGGTGGCAGCCGCTGCATCGGCTTGCGCCGCTGCTAACGTGGCTTCGGCTGCCTCTGCCCGCTCCCCGGCTGCCTTGGCTTCAGCCTTGGCGCCGGCCACCTGCACCATCGCTGTTTTGGCCTGTGACTCGAGGGTCGACACCTGCGACTCGAGCAGCGACGAGGCCTTCATGCTCGCCTCTCGGCGTGCTTGCTCGGCTGCGCACTGTGCACGTGATTCGTCCAGAGCGTACACCAGCTCCTCCACCTTGCGCCGGCTCCTATCCAGCAACTCTGTCTCCTTGACCTCGCTCCGCTCTTTCCCCCGCCGCAACGCCTCCTCCAGCTCGTAAATCCGTCGCTGACTCGCTTGATACACGTCCTTCAGCGCCAGCCGCTTTGACTTTTCGGTCTGCGCCTGCGCCTGCAGATCGGCCGCGGCTGCCAGCTCCTCCTTGGCTCTCGCCAGCTTCTCGGCCGTCCGCCGTGTCGCCTTTTCCAGGCTCACAATCTCGGCATCCTTCTTGCGTAGGATCTCCTCGAGTGCAAGCGCGTTCTCGTGCGAAGCGTTCATCGACGCCACTTGGCTCTCGAGTCGGACAACCTCGGCGTCTACCGCCGCCCTCTCGGCACGCTCGAACTCTAGCGCCTCCTTGGTAGCCGCCAGCTGAGCCTCGCACGTGCGGATCTTCTCGGACAGCGCCGTGGCTTCACTTGCCTCAGAAAATGTCTTGGCTGCCAGTGCCTGCGCCGATGTTCGAGTCTCCTGCCGCGCCCGCTCCGTCGCCTGGTTGGCCTCGGTCAACGCCACTCGCGCTGACTGCAGCTTGACATCAAGCTCCCTGTTCGCCGCCAGCAGCTCCTGGATCCGCGCTTTGCTCTCGGCAGCTGCTGCTGCTTCCGCCCGCGCGGCCGCCACAGCCGCCACAAGACCTTCGATCTTGCCCTCGGCAGCCGCCAGCTTCTCGGCAGTCACCCGCGTCTCGCTCTGCTCCTTGGCTGCTGCTGCTTCCGCCCGCGCGGCCGCCACAGCCGCCACAAGACCTTCGATCTTGCCCTCGGCAGCTGCCAGCTTCTCGGCAGTCACCCCCAGCTGGGTCGCCGCCGCTCCGGCCTCACCTTGTGCCCTGGCCGCCAATGACTTCCACTCTTCGATCTCGGCGGCTGCGCTCTCCAACTCACCAGCCGCACTCGCAGCCTGCGTCTTGGCATCCGCCGCCGCAGCCCGGGCTTCTCCTTCGCTCTGGCGCGCCGCAGCCAGCTTTTCCTTCAGCGCCGCCATTTCCGCGTCTAATGCGCCTCTCTCACCGCTCGTCCTAGCTGAGCTTGCATCGCTAGCAGCGGCAGCATCAAGCTCTGCGCGCGCTGCCGCAAGCTCGGCGGCAACAGCCTTTTTCTCGGCCTCAAGCCGAGACGACTCGTCGAGTGCAGCCTGTGCCTCCTTAACCGCCGCTGCCCGCTTCGCCTTGGACTTTTCCAGCTTAGCCTCGGCCCTGCCGTGCGCTGCCTGCCATTGTGCAATCTGCTCACGCGCGCTTGTGAGCTCGGCCTCCAGCTTCGCGACCGCCTCGGCTCCTACGCTGACGTTTTCTCCGCTGAGCGCCGGTAGCGTGCCTGACTCGGCCGCACCGCCAGTCGCCGGCAGCGCCTCCAGCTGGGCGGTGAGCGACGCAACTTTCGATTTGAGCTTGTCCGCCTTGATCTGCTCCGACTCGAGCTGGACCTGCAAATCGTCGACGGTGGCAGTGGCATCGGCCAGCTCGTCCGTGAGCCGGCCCTTGACGTCAGCCAGCTTGCGTTTGGTCGCTGAGAGCTCGGTCTTGGTCTTTTCAAACTCAGCAAGGTTGTCCATGAGCGAGTGGTTGAGCTCGCGGAGCTCGTCCGCGGTCATCGCGGCAAGGTTGCCATCCGAGCTGGTGCTTCGTCCGCTCCCCCCCTTGAGCGCGTCAATCTGAGCTTGCAACCCTTCCACAATGGTCTCAAACGCCTCTTCCTTTCTCGCCAGCTGCTCACGCTCGGCAGCCACCGCGGCCTCGTTGGCCTTGACCTTGGCCGTCATGTCAGCAGCAGCCGCTGTCGCAGCAGCCGCTTCTGCCTTGGCCTGCTTCTCGGCATCCTTGGCTGCCGCAATGTCGGCCACAAGCTGTGCGTTCTCGGCCGCCGCAGCCTTGAGCTTGTTGCCCATCACGTCAGAGTACGACTCACCGAGCGCTGCGAGCTCGTCAGCCACGGCCTCGCCGCGCCCTCCGCTGCCAAGCGACGATGTCCGTCCGGGCGCGTGCCCAAGCTCGTCCTCGAGATCGCTAATCTTACGCGCGAGTGCGCTGCGCTCGGACTGGAGCTTCTCGGCCTCACGCTTGGCACTCGATGCCGCAGCCACGGCGTCCTTCACCTGTGCCTTGAGCTTGGAGACGACATCGCGGTCAGCTGCCAGCTCGGCGTGGGCACGGCGCTCGGCCTCGAGCTCGGCTTGCACATCCAGTACCGCCTGCTGCGCGCTAGCCAGCTCCTCCTGCAGCGACGCCATTGACCGCAGCGTTGCCCGCTTCCACTGCTGCAGCTCAGCGAGCTGCTTGGTAGCCTCGCTGGTCGACGCGCCCGACGCCGACGCCGAGCTCTCCAGTGCGGCGACCTGGTCGGCGAGCTCGTTCTGGCGGGCAACCGCGGCGTCGGCGCGGGCCTTTTCGTGGGCAAGTTCCTCTCGCATAGCCGCTTGGCTCTGCACCAGGGCCTGCATGTCAGCCAGCTCGGTCGCCCGCTCCTCGGCGGTCGTCCGCAGCTGCGCGTAGTCGGCCGCGGCCTTGGCCTGGCTCGCGGTGAGCGACTCAACCTGCGACTCGAGCGCCATAATCCGATCCATGGCCGCGTCAGAAAATGTTTCCAGAACACCTACGTCATTTGCGGCCTGGCTCGGGTGCGGCTTCCCGCCGCGTCCCATTCGCGGTGTTGGAGGCGCCGAGCTAGCCAGAAGCGGCGTCGCGGCAGCAGCCACATGCCAAACGTCGAGAATCGAGAACCACCCCGGCGCAACCGAGAATCCGGCCTGGGCCGCGCCCCGCAGCGCGCCACGTGACAGATCGGTCCCAGCTGCCGCAAAAATGGCCTTGAGCGCATCGAGCGGCACAAGGCCGTGGGCGGCCATCGCTTCGGGCTCGCCAGCCGCGGCGGCCGCAGCCGCCACCTCCTCGGCCGCGGCACGAGTCGCTGCGTCAAGGTCCCGGACTGGCACTGCGACATGCGCAAACGCGCCCTCGAGTGCCGATCGGACATGGACGTCTGCACTTGCCACGTTGGTCGCCACAATGCGGAGCTGCGCAGCGCGGGCGTCGACCGCCGACCGCGCCGAGGCGAGCTTGTCCAGGAAGAGTGGGCCGACGCCGGCAACAAACTCGTCAAGCGAGATGAGGCCGTTGCCGTCTTCGTCGATGTGAGCCATGAGCGCCTCCAGCTGCTCCATGTCAAGGAGGGCGTCAAACGCGGTTCGCATCCCGGCCTGCAGCTCGTGGATGTCCACCTCTCCGGAGCCGTCCTCGTCCATGCTCTCGAAGAGCGCACAGAGCTCATTGTAATGCTCATCGCTCATCTCCGGATGATCCTTCTTTTCACGGTTGCCCGACTTGCTCCGCTTGGCCACTACCAGCGGCGCGAGCGTGGCAAGAAAGACGGCCTCGGACATGTGCGCGTCGGGCGCACCAACAGCGGCCACAAAGATGGACTCGACCGTCTCCGAGTCTGCTGGTAGCTCCATCTGTCGCAGCAGGACCGCAAACTCGTCGCAATCGACACTGCCAGAGCCATCCACGTCGATAGCGTGGAAGACCTGGATGAGGTGGGCGATCTCGTCCGAGCTTAGCGCGTTGTCGGTCTCGGAAGCCGCCGTCTCGGCATGCTGCGCCGCAAGCTGGAGCAGAAACGGGCCCAGTCCCGCCACAAACTCATCAAAGTCAACACTACCTGAGCCATCGGCATCAATAGCCGCCATCAACGCCTTCAAGTCGTCGCCACTCAGCGGATGGCCGAACAATGCCATGGCTGCGCCGAGCTCGTCATGCTCGAGAGTCCCGGACCCATCGTTGTCCAGCTGCTTGAAGATGTCCTTCAGCCGCGCCACGTCCTCGGCACTCACTACCTCTGCCATGCCTATACGCCCTCTGCCTTGTCGCCTACTCACAGAGCCGTGTTGCCTCCGTCTCCAGCCTGGGCCTGAGAACAAACTGCAACAACTCCACGTCTCGCCCAAGCGAACGTGGTCGGAACCGACTCGGCGTGGGTGAGTCGACGGCTTCGTCGGAGAAATATATTTTTTGGAAGCGAGCAGAACCGCGAGGCGGCTCTTGGTTGGTGGGCTTTCGCTCCCATGACGATCTGTGCAAGGCAAGACAAGGTTATGGCTGGCTTGGTTGGCTGGTCTCATCGAGCTACACTCGCTTTGATCGCGTTGCACCCGCTGCTGGCAACGTTGACAACGCCGCGCTGGCAGCTCGAACTGTCACGGCGTCAACTCCTGCACCGGTCACGCCTCTACAACGAACACAGAAGCTACGATGAGCGATCACGTGAGACGAGCAGTATCCGCAAATGCAAATAAGAGATGTGCACTGCCCACAGCGCCCTTTTCCGTCGTTCACAACGTGCTCCAAGTCTCACTTGCCAGCTCAACTGCACTTGACCCAGTCGTCTGATCATGTATTCTCGGACTCCTCTTGCGGGCCCCACTCCCGGTCATGGGCTTCACCGACTCGAGTCAGCCGCTATCACTTGACTCCGCCTCCCCATGGCGAGCGCGTATCTTCTTGCACTTCCTGATGAAGTGCTTCTGCATGTGGTGGTGGCCGCGGTGGCGGATGGCGGTGCAGCAGCGCAGGCTGCGGTCCAGAGCACCTGCCGCCGGTTGCGACGGATCGGCGACGATGTGGCGGTGTGGCGGGCGCTGGTGAGCCGAGGCGGGGCTGGCGGGGCATGGCCTGCATCGGGGAGTCTTGCCGATCGACGGATGTTGTTGCGGCGTAGGCAGGGTGGGGCGGATGATGCCGGCATTCTGACCGTGGTGGCGTGGAAGGCTGTGGCGCTCTCAAGGCTGCCGAGCTGGTGGGCGGTACGGGAGGCGCGCTGGCGAGGACAATGGTCGCTAGAGTGGCGCCCGGCTACGGTGGCGGTGGCGGCGTGCGCTCTCATGGTCTCGCCGGCCTACAACGGCCAGTCACGCCGTCTCGACCGCGCCACCGATCGGCTCATGCTCGTCGCCGCGCCCATCCTCGCTGCCGCTACCGCTGAAGAGGTGGCCGAAGACGTGGTGGCGCCGGTCGTGGCGATGACCGACGCCATGAAGGAGACCGTACCCGGTGCTCGCTCCCGTCGCAGCTGCTGGGGGTATCTGAACAGCCTCGGCCCGCTCGGCCACCTGCTCCGGTGCGGCGTCATGACCTTGCCGGGCGAGTCTTGGCGGGCCGAGGTCGCGCGGCAGGTGGCCCACGTCTCTGACGCGCTGGCACATGCCGGTATGGCCGGCTTCATCCCGCTCCGCGACCTCACTCTGGCGCAGCTTGATGTTCTTGGGGAGCTTTGCACTGCTGCAGTCGCTGCTTTTCGCATCGAGATGCTCCCGCCGGCCGCCGGCCCTGTCTTCCGCCGTCTCGTCCGCGACCTTCGCGCTCGCCTCGGGCCTCCGGACGGGCCGGAACTGGTAATGCTGGACCCGGCCGAGCGTCTGGTGCTGGGCGTAGTCATGCAGGCTTTTACTGGCCACGCACATGCGGTGTATCTCGATGCCGACGATCTACCCAACGTCAATCGCGCCGGCCATCTTGTTCTCCAGACCCTCCAGAACGCTGGCAATCTGATACTGGCGCCCACGTCGAGCGCACCGCTCGAATACCTCAACTCATGGCTCCCTGCCATGCACGCGCACCTAGTGCATGAGATCCACCGACTCCTTGCTCCTCCTGGTGGCAGCACCAGTCTATCTCCCTCTACTGCCGCAGCTGCCGCAGACTCGGACTCGGACGCCGACTCGGACGCCGAGTTCACTGCCCTCGCGCACCACTCTGCCAAGGAAGAACTGGAGGTGCTGATCATGGGTGCGATGGATCCGCTCGCCGCCGCCATTGCCATCCGCCTCGACAGTCATCATCCAAATGCCGCGGCGGTCCTTGTCGCCGACATGGCCCGGCTCTGCCCAGATCGCCTCGCCTGACTCTTGCTCGCCTCCGCCCGCCGCTCGCCGCTCCCGCTCCCGCTCCCACCGCTCGCCTCCCACCGCCCCCCGTTCCCACCTCTCCCACACCAACATGCTTACGGCCGAGACTCAGAACTGGAACCACGGCGTCGCCCTTGCCGTTGCTGTGGTGGCACAGCAGGTACGTTGAGCTCCACACCTGTATCAACACCCGTCTTTAACTGCACCTGCGCTTTCACGACCTTTTTTGGGGGGGTGGGGGAGGCAGGCAGGCGCAGGCGCAGACAAGAGGAAGTAACGGGCAGGTCGAGGGGAAGCACGCGCCCGCTGCACATCCATCCGCCAACCCTATCGCCGCCAATCGCGCCCGCCGTGAACCCTATCCCTGACCGCCGCCTCGGAGCTACAGACAAGGTCTTCTCTTTCCTTTTTTTTCCTCATCATCTCATCTCATCTCATCTCATCTCATTCCATTCCATTCCCCCCTCCTTCCGTACTCATCCACTCTTCTGTACCGCTTGCTGTGGCCTCGTCGATCGACTCTAGCTGCTCGGCATGACGTATTACGGGCCGATTTTCGGCAACGCGTACGTCAAGGCGCGCGGGGTGACCTGGAAGGATCTCGAAGGGCTCAACATGACCAAGGCTCTGACGCTTGCTGTCCTCTCGTCGGCTGTCTTTGCTGAAGTTGTCTCGCACATTGTGGCGTCCACGACGTCGCTGGCCGACGCGGTCCACATGGTGATCTGGCTCTGGCTCGGCGTCAACGTCACCACCATCGCCAACAAGGGCGGCTGGGACGAGGAGTCGTACACCCACATGGCTCTCACCTGCGGCTGGATTCTTGTCCAGTACCTCACGGTTGTTCTCATCTTCCACTTTCTCGCCTAGCCGCCTTGAAATGGCAGCCCACGCCTGACAATGTCAGCATAAACCACATCTTCTCTTCCCACCCCACCTCCGCACCGTGTTCGATCCCACCACTCCGCCCACACTCCACTTTCACACCATGCGCACAGCTCATAGCAGCAACGCTGCTGACTGCGGCGACAGTAGCTGCCAAGACAGACGAGTCTGCACGTGTTCTGCTCAAGTACTACGATGCCGAGCTTGGCATTGCCAGCAACTTTGTGCTCATCAACGCTACGGGAGTAAGCAGCGTGGTGGGCAAGGCGGTGAGGAGCGGGCCGGCGCGGCCGACGACCCATGCTGTGGCCGGACACTCTGCCTACGTAGCCGACGCATCGATGGATCAGCTGCTGGTCATGCACACCTCGGCCAAGATCGGCGAGGATCCGGTGCTCGAGGTCCAGTCGACGCTGGTGCGCTCGTCGTCGGTAGAGACGGTGACGCTGTACTCGGCCCTGATGCTCAACAAGCACTCGTTTGTCTCGCTCGCCCGATCGTGGGTGGAGGAGACGTACGTCGTCGCCCGCTCTTCCATCAGCTACCAGCAGACGCTTGTCTCGCAGCTCCCGCTCTCGCAGCCTGCCGCCAAGATCAAGTCCGTCTACGCGTTGGCGCACGACAACTCAACCTACTTTTCCTACAACGGCACCCACTTTACCGGCAACAACGTGGTGACCGGCAACGTGACGTACGTCGCGCCGTCCGCCATCGACATGATCTCGCTCAACACTGTCCTCGACGCCGAGGGCAACGGCATGGGTTTTGCCATCTCCGACGGCGCCATCCACGTGGCGACGATCAACCCCATGACCGGCCGTGGCCGCTACGGCGCCCGAGTCGACATTGCCTTTGCTGCCGGCGACGAGCTCATGGCGTCGTTCCCGTCCGACGCCTGCGGCACGCCGACGTCCAAGTACATCTTTGCCGCCATCGTCCCGACTGCCACCCAGCAGGTCACCATCTATGTCATCGTCCCCTCCACCGGCACCATCGTCACCACCGTCTCCCCCTCGGACCTCACCACCATTCTCGGCGTGCCGCTGACCACCACCCTCGCCCCGCTCGCCATCATCCTCCCCAAGCCGGCCACGCCCTGCCGATCGCCGGCCCATCGCTAGCTCCCATCAAGCACAGCTCCAAATCGACACAAACACAGAGCCACACCATGGCCCGCCACCACCACCACCACCACCACCCACTCTCCCACACTCACACCTCTCCCTCGCTCCCTCCCAACCATGCTCACCCTTGACACACAATCCTGGTCCCACCTCGCACTCATTGGTGGCGCCGTCATCCTGCAGCAGGTACCGCCCCCCCCTCCCCTCTCCTCCCTCCCGCCACCCTCCCGCCACACCCGTCCGCTTTCACGACCTTTTTTGAAACTCACACCGTCGGTCGCCACAGATCATGGGCATGATCTACTACGGGCCTGTCATGGGCAACGCATGGCTCAAGTCGCGGAACATGACGGCCAAGGATCTGGAAGGATGCGACCTTCGCAAGCCTATGGCCATCTCGCTCATCACCTCGGGTATCTTTGCCGAGGTTCTGTTCTTTGTCGTCGGTGCCTCGGCCGATCTCCACGCCGCTCTCACTACCGTCTTTTGGCTGTGGTTCGGCTTCAACGTCACCACTGTCTTCAACAAGGGCGGCTGGGAGGACGAGTCCTTTGCCCACATGGCCATCACCTGCGGCTGGAATCTGATCCAGTATGTCGGCATCGTCCTCTTTTTCCACCACTTTGCCTAGAGCACCATCCGCCCCCACCCACCCACCCACCCCGACCCCTTACCCACATCCCCCCCCCCCCCCACTACTACATCCATCACACGCCCCGCCCCGCCCGCCCGGCAAGACGCCGGCTCGTGCCCTGCAGCAA